GCCGGGGCATCCCTCTGGGCTCAAGTTGCAAGGGGGCGGGCCCGGCCGGAGGTGGAGTCTCCCGCCAAGTGAAGCCTCGGCTATAAATCGAGCTCCCTGCACAGCTTCAGCCAGATGCCGGGCCAGGCCGCCCAGCCGTTGTTGGGGGGAGACGACGAGGGGTCCCAGGGGGCTTGGGGGGCCACGGTCACCATGCTCCGCTCCCTGCTGCTTCACGCCCTGAGGCTCTGCGCCCAGACGGCCTCGTGCCTCACGCTCTTCCCGCGCTTCCTCTGCACGGCCTTCATGCTCTGGTTGCTCGACTTCCTGTGCATCCGCAAGCATTTTCTGGGCCGCAGGCGCCGGGGTCAGCCCGAAACTGAAGTCGAGCTCAACAGCGACGGGGAGGAGGTGCCCCCCGACGACCCGCCCATCTGCGTGTCCGACGACAACCGCCTGTGCACCCTGGCGTCGCTGAAGGCGGTGTGGCACGGCCAGAAGTTAGATTTCTTCAAACAAGCCTACGAGGGCGGGCCGGCGCCCAACTCCCAGGTGGTCCTGCCCGACAGCTTCCAGCACCGGCACATCCTCGATTTCGCGCGAGGCAACCGCCCGCTCGTGCTCAATTTCGGCAGCTGCACCTGACCACCGTTCATGGCGCGAATGAGCGCCTTCCGGCGCCTGGTCACCAAGTACCAGCGCGACGTGGACTTCCTCATCATCTACATAGAGGAAGCGCACCCCTCCGACGGCTGGGTCACCACGGACACCCCCTACATCATCCCGCAGCACCGGAGCCTGGAAGACAGGGGCAGTGCGGCGCGGGTCCTGCAGCAGAGTGTGCCGGGCTGCGCCCTGGTCCTGGACACCATGACCAACTCCAGCAGCGCAGCCTACGGCGCCTACTTCGAGCGCCTCTATGTCGTCCAGAGCGGCATCATCCTGTACCAGGGCGGCCGCGGCCCCGACGGCTACCAGGTCTCCGAGCTGCGCGCCTGGCTGGAGAGCTATGACCAGCGGCTGCACAGCGCTCTGTCCGGTCCTTTGTAGGCACCCAAGGGACAGCCGACGGAACGTGGAGGGCCGTGCCTTCGAGCCTTCGAAGCCCACGTGCCAACGTCCCAAATGAAGTCAGGTTTGGCGAGGACCCAGTGGCACAGCTGTGCTGAGCCACTTCGCAGGCTGGTTCTGCGCCCTCGGCCAAGCCACCTGAAGACTCTCCCCCAGCCCCCAGCCCCACTCTGCTTTTGTGACTGTCCCTCGCCTGTACCTGCCTGGCTGGCTCCAAGTCCCCTTCTGAGTGTGGATTCCCGGCAACCCCTTGCCTGTGTGCCCCTGGACTTGTCCCACAGAGGCCCCTGCTGTATTCTCTTGCACCCCCTCCCCAGAGAAAAGGGCCTGCGCCTTGCGGCCCCCTGCAGAGACTTTGGCTGGGCCCTGCGCCCTGGGCACAGCTGGGTTCCAGCAGTGCTGTGCTGCTAGTCCCAGTTGCCTGGCACCCACACCTGTGGGCTCAGGGAGGGGATGTCCTGCTGCTTTTGTGTCTTTGTCTTGTCCCTGTGGTGAGGGAGGGCCTTTGGGAAGGGGAAGGGTGGGCAGGGTTGTTTCCCCCCCCTTATTTGGGGTGCCCTGGAGCTCCGCTGTTGATGATGAACTGTCTCTAACTGGTTTTGACCATGAGCTGCTTCTGAATTGCAGGGGGCTCACAGCAGCGCCTAAAACCAGCGGGGGGAAGCGCCCTGGATTTCCATGAGGAAACCATCATAAACTGGGTGGGAGAGGGAGGTTGGGAACTGTCTCGGGACCAGAGGAGGTAGGCTCAAAAGGTTCCCAGAGCCCCAAGGAGAAGGGAGAGGCTGAGCTCCCAGGAAACGCAGTTTGGGTGTCTG